TTGGGCTATCTGATTTGGGGATCCTCCAATTGAGTTTTATTCCTTGGGCCGTTTGATTTGGGCTGAGTTTTTATGTGTCAACACCTTTTAACCATTTTTTATTCTTGCCACAATTTTGTTTGATAAACATGCTGCAAATCATTTTTCTATCCTGTTTCATATATTTCCTTTCTTCTTGCGTTTAATTGAAACGATTTTCATAATTAGATGTGATGTCATGTTAAAATAGCTATTGATTATATGCGATTTGTAAACCGGACAGAAAGAATTCTAATTTTTCAATTTGTTGACAGAGTGTGAAGAAGACCTTGATTTTCTTCGGTCCAATGTTGACATGGCTTCAAAGAAAGTTGATATGTTGTGCGATCGCAATGTGTTAGATGGTATCGAAATCGGACCGAATATGAATGAAGCGGGACATGAATGAGAAGCGATGCTTGAAGGAGAGCTGGAAAACGACAATACAGTCGATAACTTGGAGCATTCATCATCCAAGGAGTTATTATTGGATTGCTCATTGGATGAAGAGGTTGGTTATCACTTTTCGAAATTTTAGGCTGAGACAGATATGGGGAATCCATAGTTTGAGGTCAGACAACTCTTTTGGTCAATGCAAGAGTTTCAAAATGTAGTGAGAACTTACGGAGCTTTGAATGGGTATGATGTAAGATTCAAACGATAGAACACGAGCTCAAGGAGTTTGCAAATTAGGGTGTAATTGGAGGATATGGGCTTCAAAATTGAATGAGACTGGTACAGTACAAGTGAAGTCTTATGTGCCTAATCACACATGCACACGGGCTAACACAATAGACATTATATCTTCTTGACCCAGAGATATATTGAGTTGTTTAAGATCTTGGCTAGAAAGCAAAATCTATTTTAGTGATCTTGAAAGAAGACCAGAAGATGGAGATAAGTAGAAATATTGCATGCAAGATGAGGAAATATGTGAAGGAATTGTTGTTTGGAAACATTACGGAACAATTTTGACTTCTAAGGTAGTTCGAAGTAATATGGGATCAATTGTGATAATAGCCCTCAACAAGCAAGTTTTTAAAGGCATCTACATATGCTTTAATGCTTGCGAGTTAGGGTTTACGAGTGGTTGCATGAAAGTGGTTGGTATTGACGAGTGCTATTTGCGAGGGTGTTTTGGGGAAATTAAGTTAACTGTAGTAGGGCATGATGCTAATGATTGTATCAATCCCATGGCATATGCTGATGTACAAAAGGAGAACACGCAATCTTGGAAGTCGTTCATGAAGTATCTGGCAGAGGACATTGAAATAGGCTACGGTAACAAGTGGACATTGATGACAGACGGGCAAAAAGGACTTCAAAATGTGTATGAAGAGTTATTCCCAAAGGTAGAATATCGCTTTTGTGTACGACATGTATACAAACCTTTTCAATGCAGGATTTAAAGGAAGAATTCTAAAGGATTTTATTTGGCATGCCACAAAGTCAACGTATGTCGCTAATACAAATGTGGATGCAAAAAATTCGTGAAGTGATCGAAGAGTATATAAGTGGTTAACAAAAAAGACACCTTTAGGAGTGAAGTCAATCACACTTTTCAGTGCGTTCGAAGTGTGACATTGTATTAAACAACGGATGTGAAGTTTTTAACAAAACAATGCTAGATGATATAGAGAAGTTGATTCTAAATATGCTTATGTCAAATCCTATATGCTTTTGTGATGGTAGTTAGGTTTGGGAAAATTATTTTGATTTACTAGATGTGTCGATGTTAAATTTTAATCTGACAAGTGATCCTAACAAGAGAATAGATTACTTGAGTTTTTGATGGTTTTTTATTTTTCTTTTCTATTACATTTAGGTTCCACTTAATATTGTTGTATCTATGGTGTCTAACTAATTTTGTGGGACATACTCTCTAATATTATGCACCTGAGCAAGTGTAGGAAAGAACCATGTACAAGAAATATAAATGGGTGACAATTGGTTCAACCAAGTGCAAATGTCATTGACTGTGTGTTTGCTTACCGACAGTGAATATAAAGTTGAAGCAATCCATATAATTCAAAGGGAATTCAGACTTAAATTAATAGACCGCAAAAGTTCTCACAACATACTAACAAAATACTACATAAGCTACATGAACTATATTAATTACATGACCTCCACAAGATATAAAATACAACAAGTTTAATGAATATTACATAAACATGGATCTTGACAACTCCAACAACGAGTCTTGACACGTTTTCATTGTTTGAAATAATTCAAGGAACGATTCTCTTTCCTTTTCGGTTGTCCTCTATAACTCTTTTTTCCATATGAACAATGACGTTGAAAGATATCTCTATCTCTAATTTTTCATAGATTTGAGCACACGACTTCAACATACTCAACAAATTTTCAATCAGGTCTATAGCCTTTTCCCTACTAGACGCATCTTCATCTTGCCAATTAAGATTACCACAATCAAAAGTACAGAAAAGGAACAATCGGCCTATGTTTGACGTACTTCTCTCCACCCCCATACATTCTCGATGCCCTAGCTACATTTTAGGCAACATTATTTTGTTGGACAATTCGACAAAAAATGCCCAAACTTCCTACAACTATGAGAAACGCCTCTGTTCTTCCCTACCATATCACTTCAAACATGGAAAAGGTAAACAATATAATTAGCAAATTGCATATACACTAAGCAAACATGGGAAATGTGAACAATGTAAAACATCCTACAACACGAATTTCAACATATTCAATTGATTTTTTGCAGCCATAAATTGAAAAATGTTTATGTTCATTCAACTATAATATTCTACAAAAGACTAAACTAAAATTCAGTATGGTCAGTAATTAGCTACACCTTGCGCGAAACTTGATTGGGTTCGTGTGACTTTCTTCGTATGTTCTGGGTTTTGGTAACTGGATTTTGATTGTGAAGTTTGGGGTGGATTCGAACAGGACTTTCTGTTGTGATGTTGGGGACGGTGAATCCCGGATTATAATTTCTTCCCAACGTGATCTAGGGTTCGAGAGAATTTGATTTTGGGGGAGAACGAAATGTGACTGAATCGTGTTGGAATGCTGGGTTTTGCTTTATTTGGGAATGAATCGTGTTTTAAAAGAAAAACGACTTGTACATGGAAGGAGTACGAACGCCGTTTGTTGCCACGTTTGCATTTTGTCCAGCCACTCGGGACGACCTCCAAATGGAAGTGTTATCAGTGATGGATGGAGAAAGGCTACTATAAGTTTAGTGGCCTTGCAAAGAAATCTGAAAGTGACCTTAACGTGACAAAGTACGAAGTTCAATGATCAATGAAACTTTTTACTCTGTGATTTTTATACGAGTCGCGTATAGCTTCTTTCTTTAATTTTGTAAAATGTAAAATTCGTTTTAATTACGATTCTTATAACATTTTTTGTTTTCTCTTTATACGCAGGTTTTAAAAAATATATATATTTTTATTAGAATCAAAATCTACAACATTTTATATTATCAATTGAACCCCCAGAATTGCCCATTTTCTTCACATATATTTTCTTCAGTCTCTCTTCGACCCTTATTTCAATTCTTAAGATGACAAAATCAGGTTTTTTAGAAACTCTCAAGTTTCATTACATTCAATTACTAAATTTTTAAGCTTGAATCAGATTAACGTAATTCTCTTAATTTAGAGTTTTGTTGGATATGGTAATTGTGATCTTATTTGTTTTCATTTCTTAACGAAATTAGAAGCTCATTTATTTTTCTTTTTTAGTTTTCTTAGTAAGGATTATGATTAGACTATTTTAACAGGTCCGAGTTCAATTTTGAATAGATGCTTAATTTGTATTCATTTTTGTGTGATTATTGAATGCAAATATTTTAATCAGGAATTTTGTAAAATCTGATTTGAGTTTTGTGAAATTTTTAATGAAAATGGATCTATAATAATGTAGCTTAAGAGTATAATGCCAAATGTTAGAATTTCATTGCATTTTGTAGGTTGAAGGTAATGGAGATAAATACGGTCAATGTTAATCACTATGCACTTTTGCCACCTAGAAAACGGCTTCTGGTAGGCTTGAAGAGATAGAATTCAGTTGAAATTCAATAAAAAAAAAAAAGAATTGAGAACAAATAGGCAAGTGAAGCAGACGATATTAATTTCATTTATTTACAAAGCACAATGGCTGTTAATTTACACAAGTGCTGGAGTGGTGAACAAGTAAAAGGAATGTGATGAGTACAGTTATAACAGTAAATTATGATCCCATACGTGGTGGAGTGGTGGACAAGTAAAAGGACCATTCCAGTACACACCTATACTAGAGTATGTCACCAGCTACCAGTAAACACATTCCCCCTCAAGCTGGAGTTTATTCATTAACTCCAAGCTTATCCTTGAGAAACAAGAATCTGGAATGAGCAAGTGGTTTGGTTAATAGATCTGCGGTTTGGTCTGATGATGGAATGTATTGTATCTTTAATTTCCCTTCAAAAACTTTATCTCTAACAAAATGTATATCTAATTCGATGTGTTTACTTCGAGCATGATAAACTGGATTAGAGGCTAATGCATTGGCACTTAGATTATCACACCACATGATAGGAGGTGAAGCAGGCTATAGCTTAATTTCTTTAAGCAACGACTCAACCCAAGTGATTTCAGCAAAGGCTTGTGCTAGTGCTCTGTACTCTGATTCAGCACTTGATCTCCCTACCACCTGTTGTTTCTTTGAAGACCAGGCCACCAAGGTATCTCCCAAATAAACACAGTAGCCGACTGTTGAACTTCTGTCATCAAGACACGACGCCCAATCCGCATCAGCAAACCCTGTGATGTCCATTATGTCACTCCTTTAGATCCATAGACCATGTTCAATTGTACCCTTTAGATACCTAAAAATCCTCTTTACTACATTCCAATGAGTCTCTGAAAGAGTTTGTAGAAATTGACACTCAACTTATTTACTGCAAAACTTATATCAGGTCGCGTATGTCCTAGGTACTGAAGTCCACCTATTGCACTTCTATATAAGAATGAATATACCATTTTCTCACCTTTATTCTTGGAGATGTACTTGCCTACTTTCATGGGCGTTGCACATGGTTTAAGGTGCTCAAAATTAAACCTTTTCAACAAGTCTTTTATGTACTTAACCTGAGTGAGATGCATTCCTGATTCATACCTCCTTAATTCAATTCCTAAAAATTAATGAAGTTCACCCATGTCCTTTAGTGTGAACTGTGCATTTAGTTTGTCAATGAAGCCTTGCAACACTTTGTGATCATTTCCAGTGATCACTATATCATCGACATATACCAAGTAAAAAATTACTTGCCTCTGATTCATATAAAAGGACGAAGAGTTGTCTGCTTTGGACTTGGTAAACATCCAGTCTAAAAGTGTTCTTTTTAAGCTTTATTACCATGCTCTAGGAGCTTGTTTGAGTCCTTAAAGAGCCTTTTCAAGTCTGCATACAAAGGTTGGATTGGCTTTGTCAATGAAACCTTCAGGCTGTTTCATAAACACTACTTCATTTAGCCTTCCATTCAAGAAAGCGTTGTTAATATCAACTTGTCTAACACTCCAACCCTTTGAGACAGCAAGTGATAAAATTATTCTTAGAGTAGAAGCCTTAACTACTAGACTAAAAGTTCCATGGAAATCAACACCTGAAGTTTGTAGGAACCCCTTTGCAACAAGCCTTACTTTATACTCCAACACTTTGCCTTCAATGTCCCGTTTAAGTCTAAATATCCATTTGTTTCCTATCACATTCTAATTGACCATAGGTGATACCAATTTCCAAGTTTTATTCCTTATCAAGGCTCTGTATTCATCCTCCATAGCTCCTCTCCAGTTATTGTTAGACAAGGGTTCAAGGACATCATTTGGTTCAGTCTTGCTTAGATCAATTATGTATTCTTTGCAACGAGTGGTGTACACTTTTGGTTTGAAAATTCTAGCTTTAGTTCTAGTAACCATAGGATGCTTAACATTCTGTCAACTCAGTTCTACCTCTCATTGATTTTGCTCAACATTCAATTCAATTTGCTCTGTCTCAATAGTCTACTCAGTTCTGCCTCTCATTGATTTTGCTCAACATTCAATTCAATTTGCTCTATCTCAATAGTAACAGTACCTTCTTGAATTTCCCTTTGACTGTGTTCATTTCTAGTTTCTGAATTATCATTCTCATTTACTTCAAGTACTTTTTCAAGCAATTTTAGTGGATCTGGACTGTGAGGTGTTGCTGGTTGAGTTGTATCAGATGAATACGTTGAATAAAGGTTAATAGGGATATTAAATGGTAAGCATTGAACAATAGTTTCAAGTTTTTGTGAGTTACTACTTTTGTTGAGAAAACCTGACTGAAATGAAAATTCCTCTTCATTGAAGACAACGTGCCTAGACAGGTATACACGACCAGTTGAACTAAGACACTTGTAATCTTTATATGAATTACTGAAACCAAGGAATACACATTTTGTAGAATGGAAACTGAACTTATGATCCTGGTAAGGTCTTAGATAGGGAAAGCAAGCACTACCAAACACTTTAAGTGACTTGTGGTCTGTTTGCTCATTATTTAAAACTTGACAAGGTGACTTCATTTGAAGAATCGGTGAAGGTAGTTTGTTAATGAGGTAAGTGGCTGTGTGAAATGACTCCCACCAATAATACAAGGACATGCTTGCTTGAGCAAGAAGAGTTAGGCCAGTTTCTGTAATGTGTTGACGTTTTCTTTCAGCTCTACCATTTTTGGGCTGAGGTGTGAAGACAGGAAAGTCGCATGTCGATCCCTGATTGTTGAGTTAATTCAATAAATGCCTTGAACTCACCTCTCCAATCTGACAGAAGTGCTTTAATTTTTCTATTAAACTTGTTCTCAACAAGATTTTTGAATTGAATAAATGAGTTCAAAGGTTTTGATTTGTTTCTCATAGAGTATATCTATGTGTACCTACTATAATCATCTATGAATAGAATGTAATACTTAAAACCAGAGGTTGATTGTAAAGGTGCTGGACCCCAAACATCCGTGTGTATCAAGTCATGCGAGGCTGATGCGTGTGAGGTAGATAGTTTAAAAGGCAGGGAATGTGCTTTGCCAAGTTGACAGGCATCACAAAAATGATTAGCCTCATTGACATCAAGTTTTTCATTGCAAAATTTAAGCACTTGAGACATCACAGGACCTAAAGGATGTCCAAGCCTCATGTCCCACAATTTCAATTTAGATTCATACTCTGTGGCACTTCTGGACTGGGCAACAAAAACTGAAGAGTTTGACTTATTTGAGTGGACTAACTTTGGACAAGGGAACCTATTAACTTGATCTGGGAGTTCAATCTGATACAACCCATCCTTAATCTTCCCTTCCAGCAACACCTCCTTCATCCCTTTGTCTTTAACAATACAAAAATTAGAATAAAATTTCATAAATACAGCATTATCAGATGTTAATTGTGAGACACTTAACAAATTCTTCTTGATAGAAGGTACTAACAAAACATTACTAAGAACCAAGGATTTGTTGTTCTGTGTGCTCAAGTGATTTGTGCCAATGTGAGAGTTGTGAAGTTTGTTACTATTACCAATAGCAAGACTTTCTTTACCACCATACTCATGTAGCTCAATCAGATTGCCCTTGTCAGCAGTGACATGATTGCTGGCACCTGAATCTGTAAACCAAGCTGGATCCGCAACGGTCCTAGAAGAGGCTATAAGAGCAAAGGGTTCTGAGGAGTTATTTTGATAGTGGTGATAAGGTTACTACCCATATACCTCTCATCATAACGGTTAAAGTATCTTGCTAGTAAATGGTTGTTCATCCCACAAATTTGGCATGTCCCTTTACTTGCAAAATGTTTGCCTTCTCTACCTCTATTTCTACCTCCCCTGTAGTTGTTGCTTCTACCACCATAGTTAAACCTTCTTCCTCTATTAGTATTTGAACTGTGAATGAAATATACTGAGGCTTCTCGTAAGTTAACTGAAGCCAGACCATTCTTTAGAGCACTAAGGTGTTCAATTCTACTCTCATAAGTCATGAGCACAAACTGCAATTCATGCCAGGAGATGGACTCTCTGTTGTTAATTTGAACTACTATAGGGGTATACTTTTCATCCAATCCAACTAGCGCTTGAGTAACAAGATCACTATGAGGAATGATCTTACCAGCAATTTCAAGGTTGTCTGCTAGTTGCTTGATTGTGTTGAGATATTGATCAACACTCATTGCTTCCTTTCTAGTCCTTTGAAGTTCATTGATGAGGAAGATGACCCTTGATTTGTTCATGACTCCGAAGCTCTCCTGAATAGCATTCCATGGATAGTAAGAGTTAGACGATCTCATTACTCTCATAGCAATTTCAGGAGACATTGACAAATACAACTAACCCATCAATAGTTGATCAGTAGACATTCACTTTCCATATTCAGCATTAGGAGCCATTTCGACTGTAACTCTAACAGAACCAGTAGTTTGTGCTGCTAGGAACTCTGCTAGACAGCTTTTGGTTCCTGTGATGAAACCTTCCAGATTATGTCCTTTGATGATTGGCATCACAACGTTCTTCCACAACAGAAAATTGTTTGTCAAGCTTCACTGGTGAAACTTGAGTCAAGCTTATCCCAAATGATGGCATCTAATTTCCTCCCAACATTGGAAGCATTAGTGTGTTAGAAGTTAGCGGAGTTGATTCTAAATTATCATCAGATCCGGTGTTAGCCATTGATGGCTCTGATACCAAGTAAAAATTCAATAAAAAACAGAATTGAGAACAAATAGGCAAGTGAAGAAGACAAGATTAATTTCATTTATTTATAAAGCACAATGGCTGTTAATTTATACAAATTATGAAGTGGTGAACAAGTAAAAGGAATGTGATGTACACCTGAAGAATCAGGAAAGTTACAACAATAAATCATGGTCCCATAAGTGTTGGAGAGGTGAACAAGTAAAATGACCATTCCAGTACACACACCCATACTGGAGTATGTCACCAGCTACCAATAAACATTTTAACAAATTCCGACGTTAATAATTATAGCAATACAAATAATAATCTATTGAGATCCCACTTGAGTAGCTCTAGTCATTTAAGTGAGGATATTGTTGAAGCCTCGAGATTGGCTGCTATGGAAGCAACAAAGTTACTGCTGAAGAGAAGGCTGCAAAAGCGCAAAGGCAATGGCTGTTGCCAAGAGCGCTTTGGAACTGGTCGACATTCTCTCAGAGGAGGCTTCTAGCAAAGAAAAAATCTGAAAAAGAATAAGACGAAGAAGCATGATCCTTTTCCAACAATTTACAATAAGCACAAAGGGTGTTAGAAATACCAAAACTGATGAAGAATTAGCCTGGAAATTGCATTCAGCCAACAAAAGCTCCCCCAGAATTTCAAAGAAATCCTCAAGTTCTGACTTGAAGAATTCCAAATGTAAGAGGGTCAAGAGGTTAACAACGAAGGTTCACAATGGAGGTTTTGCCTTGGATGGAAATCAGCCTTCTATGAGCAATGGGATTTGCCACGCGTTTTATATAACGTGATTTTATACCGCAAGCGCACGGTGTCAAGTTTTGTAGTATATTAAAGAATTGAAAAGTGTCGAACCCACAGGGATTGATATTCGAGTTCCACTGAGTACTATAATTGTGTCCGCGTTTATTTTATCTAGACAATCGAGTGTTAAATTAATATTTGATTTCTAAATTAGCGTCAATGAATTAAATAGTGCAATAAAAGTAAGGCAATTTCTAAAGATTAAATCAAATTTACGTAATGTCTAGGGAATGATTTCACCATATTCTCGACATAATTCTCAATCCCTATAGATATTTCTATCAAATATTTCCCAAATTCATAGGCAAGAATCCTAAATTAATTCTATTTCCCCCTCTCGAGCGTCAAATAGAACATATCTCTATATTTTAACCCCAATATCTCTATTCCGAATTAAATATATAAAGATTATCACGTACTTGGTTCTTGTTTTACCCTCAAAGATTCGTACTTTCTCTCGAAATCTACAAACCTAGGTTATATTGTTCTTAGATCACGCCTAAATTTCCCTCTCTCGAGCGTCAAATTTAAAACATCAATTCATTCAATTGGTGATCAGGCAAAAGAAAGCGTTAAGCAAGAACAATAAAAATTCAATTCTGGAAAATTAATTAGAAATACTATAAAGAAATCGAATCATGTCTCAAATAGGCTACATCAAACCCTAGATTTAATAACTTAGTTCATGATTGAAAAGAAGAACATGATAAAACACAAATTAAATTTCATGAAGAAGAGAAAGATAAGAAAAAACTCAGGTTGTTGCTCTATTTCTCCATCTTGTGGGGCTACATCAAACCCTAGATTTAATAACTTAGTTCATGATTGAAAAGAAGAACATGATAAAACACAAATTAAATT